TAAGACATGCTAGTCCTTATGGGGATGACAATGTGCAGACTGGGCCTGGGAAGCAGGAGGTGGCAGGTGCTCCGTGAGGGAAGGTAGGAGATAGAGTCTGAAGGAGTGCCGGGGCGCACCATCCCCGCGGGATTCCAGGGTGAAGTTTAATAGTGCGGAAAAGTGAAGGTCAAATTCTTCATCTTGACTTCCCTATCATTAAGAATGAGGCACAATGTTTGGTGACTTCCTTTGGATTATGAAGCTGATATGTATCATATTTAGCTAACTCGTTTTGCCCACTTACTGGGAAACCCAAAAAGCAGCTTGTGGCCCCATGGTTAATTTTAAAAATAAACCTGTGTTCACACCAGGCTTTTCTGCATGTGAGCAGAGGATGTGGCTTCGTGTGTGTGCAGGAAAATGTTGATGGGCCTGAGTAGGGATGGTGTCAGATAGCCTCCCTACCTGCCTCCGTGAGTAACTTGTGAGTCAGGCCTCTGGAAGGACTGTGGTGAGCATTACACATCATGAAACCCAAAAGGGTGAACAGAGATCTCAGATTTCCTCTTAAGCTGAATAACAGCTTACCTCATCTTGATGTTAGGAGCTGTTCAAGGAGCTTGCTCATTCCAATGTGAACCTACCTTCTAGTTTAGCAGATTGTCTATAAACCTAACAGCAAAAAACAGCTTATTTTTAATTTTTGAAAATAGGTTTATTGATTTTAGAGAGAAAAAGAGAAACATCAGTGTGAGAAACATTGACTGGTTGCCTCCCACATGCACCCTGCTAGGGAACAGAACCCTAAGTCTTTTGGTTTATGGGACAAGGCTCCAACCAATTGAGCCACACTGGCCAAGGCAGAAACCTGCTTCCTGTTAATGGGTGGTGAATGGGACAAGAGGGTAAGAAAGAGGATAAGTGAAAGAAAAAACTGATACAATCAGTCCTAGTGTAAAAGTGAACATTTCCCCTTACAAAAAGAAATGGATACTCAGTGCAAAAGATTTAGATAACACAGAAAAGCACAAAGAGAAAAAAACCAAAACATTTTTTTTTTCACCCAGAGATAACCACTGTAACATATGGCCTATTGCAATCATTTATTTTTTCTATGCTATGACTATGTGTATGTATACATTTTAACAGAATAATACTGCATATGCTCATTTATAACCTGTTCTTGAAGTTTGCAGTATAGCCATCATTTTTCCATGTCAGTGAATATTCTTATACAACATGACTTTGAATGATTACATACAATTTCCTTAAACAGAAAATGCCTTTAATGTCTTAGCTAGTTACCTATTGTTTTACATGTAATAATCAGCGTTTCTTGCAGAGGCCATCTGCCAGTATAGAAAATTTTATGATTTTTATAATGATGCCTCCACAACAAGCTTTGTGGCATATGGCTTTGCCAGATCACTGTACATTTTTGGAGCACGTCTGAGGTCAAGAGCTATTCCATTAATTGAAATAATTAAGATATCTTTGTTCTTTGTAGATTTTTCCAATTCTCCTTTTAATGGCATTAGTCATTGTAACTAATATTCATATCATGTTTTAATGTAACCCCTGTCAGTTCTGGGAACAACATTTGTGCAGCAGTAATTTTCACCTAAAAGGCACAAAGCCAGCTACAAAACATTACATTCTATTACAATGTCACAAATGTGAGTCATTCATTTGTACTTATTGAGGACCTAAAATAAACAGAGCAGTACCTTTCTGGGCGAGCAATATTCCATAAACATTAAGTTCCCGCAACGAGCAAGGACACTAAGAAATAGAACTTCTTTCAAAGGATTTGCTTTCTATACAGGGGGACAAGATATGGAACCAAGATTAATTAAATAACAGTACAAAAGATGCCATAAGGCAGCGGTCCGATGATGGGTACAGGCAATAGGGGCTGTCATTTAAAAAAAAAAAATCAGCCCCTCAGCGTTGGAATAGTCAGACAAGGCTCCATGGACAAAACACTAATTCTTGAAAGGGTAGAACTTTAAGCTAAGGCGGGGAGACCAGTATGTTTAGCCTTGGGGAACAGTAAAGCAAGTTCCTCCCTGGAAGTGTGGGAGTGAGAGTAAAGTCCGAAGGGTTGCTAGAGGGGAAGAGGCCCTTGAATGTTAGGCAAATGGAGTTCAGACTCCACCCTGAACACCGTGGGTGGAGGCTTTTTAGCAGTAGAGTGACAGGCTGGCCTCAACACCTTGCTGTGACAAAAGTCAGCTCTCACTCTTAGGTCCTCTGAAATCTCTTCGGCAAGATTGTGAATTTATGTTGGAAGTTAATATTGTTTGAACAGTATTACTTTATTCCTGCTCTTTGATCAGGATCCACACATAGAAACCAGCCTTATGGTAAGAATCCAGTTATAAATTCATATGTAGAATTTCTAAAAGTAAGTTAAATAGTTCTAGTAATTGAACTAGAATTTTCCCCCCAAAAAGGCACAATTAAGACATTATCTGAATTCAGTAAAGTTTCTCTTATTAACCTTTTTGTCTCAATACATTTTTATATTATGAAACAAATGTAACATCATTGAAGACATTTTGAAAGCAGAAAAAAAATCCTATAATCAAATTTAAACATAACTATTTAAATTTTACGTCTTTCTTGTCTTGCCAAATGCATTTTCTTTTTACCCAGTTACAATAATATTGTATGAACATTGTAAATATGTTAAGCTAGGATACTACAACGTATTAAAGCAATTGTTTCAAAGATTTGTTGAAACATCTTTTGAGTAGATAGACACAATTTAATAATTTCTCCATTTTTAGATTGTTTCCATATTCCCATTTTGATTCCAGCTTTCACTGTGGTGGGTCATTGGCCATTGTTCTGGTGTGCAGAGAAGAGAATTCAGGTGTGATAAGATCTTTTGGGTCCTTGGGAGGCTGTGTGTGTGTGTGTGTGTGTGTGTGTGTGTGTGTACACGTGCGCGCGCGCGCGCGCATGGTAAATATATTGAAAATATTTACCACAATTAAAACAAACGAGATGGAAGGCCCATGGTGTACACGATGTGCCCAAGTGCCTAATGCATATTCCCTGCTTTCACACATTGATTTGCACTTGGCTTTTTTTTTATCTAGTAATATTATTTGGAGGTTGTTCCATGTCAGTACATATCAAACTCTTCTTTCTTTTCAATGGTACTGTATTTTATCCACTTCCTACAGATGGATCTTTAGGTTGTTCTTGATCTTCCGTACTATCAACAATGCTCCAACACTGATCTTCACACAGTATGAATTTATCTGTAGCATAAATGTCTACATGAGGAATTGCGGGGAAAAACAATACAGTATATGCATATAAAATTATGATTGGTGGTGTTCATTTCCTTTCAAAGTGGTTTACCATTTTATTCCCCCCAACAATGTTTATGATGGTCTATTTCCAAACCCAGGCCAACTAAATATTCCTATCAGTCTAACGGGTAAAAAATGGCGTCTCAATTTAATTTGCATTTAATCTAAAAGTATTTAAAATTTTAGGTTTGGGATGCTTTTGAATCAAGTTTTTCTCTGTAATTGGACAAGCCATCTTCATCCGTGAATCTGAAATAGACACAGCTACTACTAGAGGGTCATAAGCTGGTGAGAATGAATAGAAAGCAAAAAAAAAAACAAAAACAAAAACAAGAAAACAGAAAAACCCTCCTGACCAATGATGGGAATAGGAACAGTGTCAATTTTTTTGCTTTCTGCCTCTTTTCCTTCTCCATTTCTATCAGGTAGCAGCAGTAGGAAGTTGTGAGTTCTGTGAATGCGCTGTGTGCTTGAGCCTTGCAGGGGGGGCGGGGGGCGGAGGGGGAGAAGGTATGGAAATTGGGAAGAGCAACGCAAGAGAGGACTTGTTTGTCCACTTCTCAAATTCCAGGTACCCCTCCTTTCTCCCTAGCAGAACCTGCACATCTGCCGAATCAGGGAGAATAACAGAGAAATAATGGAAGAAAAAAAAAAACAATTTAAGAGCAATTTCATCTGGCAGAGGCGTTTTGATTCACTAGTTCTTGCTATTTCTGCGTTTCATGAACGGGCAGGAATCAGAGACTACTACGTTCAGTGTAGTAAGGGAACTTCAATGCAGCTGAACCCGTGTTTTAACAGTTATTTTTATTTTTATTTTAGAAAATGGAGTATGCTGGGAGGCATGCTCTGTTCGCGAATTATCTCCCCACCCCCATCCATTATTTATTTTGAGGAACTGGACGTGCATGACAAGAATATATATGCCTGTACGTAAGATCCCCAAATCAGGCAGTTGAATGTTGGGACAGAGAGACCTCGTATCAAGCAGAAGACGGTACAAATATAGAGAAAAATATAATGTCCATCTCCCCACCCAATAAAATCTTGACTCTCCACAAACGTAAGAAAAATCTGTATTATTGCAAAGATATACTTAACTGGATCCTATTCTCTTCTGATGAGCTTTAGATGTTAAGTGAGGAACAAGCCTGACTGAGGTTAACACCTCGGTGCAAAGCGCAAATTTAAACGTGGGCCGGACGTTAGGGTCCAGATTTGTACGTGGAGTCCCACCCCTGCCCAATCAGGGGAAGTTCCCCTCTATCTTCGGTTATTTTAAAAGCAAGCGGTTTTTAAAATCCCATTCTGCTCTTTGTGTTGGTGCCTCGGAGTCGCTCCCTCGCAACCTAACGATTTAGGGTAGAAAACCCCGCCGTGGGGCCCCTCGGCAGGCGGCCAGAGTGGGCGAGAAGCGTCGCTCGCCCGCACCGCGTTCCCAAGCCGACGTCCCCGGGGCTCGCCCTCCGCCCCCCGCCGCTGCCGAGCCGGGACCGGCCCAGGGCCCCTCTCCAGCGCCCCCTCCCCGGCGCGCTGCGGCTGGCCCTCCCCAGAGCCCCGCCTGACGCTGCAGCTGGGCCCGCGATTCGCCATTGGATTAAAAATAGCAGCGTCCCCCACCCCCCCGCCCCGCCTGCCGGCCCCAGGCCCCCGGTGCCCGCTCCCGCCCCGCGGCCCGCTCTCCCCGCCCGCCCGCCCCGGCTCAGCTCCCATCGCCCGCGCAGCCCGCCGCCGCCGCGGGCAGACCCAGCACAGCGGCTCGGCTCGGTTCTGCTCGGGTGCGCGCTGCGGCCATGCAGCGCCGGGGCGCCCTGTTCGGCGTGCCGGGCGGCAGCGGCAGCAGGAAGATGGCTGCAGGAGACATCGGCGAGCTGCTGGTGCCCCACATGCCCACGATCCGCGTGCCCAGATCTGGGGACAGGGTCTACAAGAACGAATGCGCCTTCTCCTACGACTCGCCGGTAAGTGGGGCTCGGCGGCGCTCCCGGCGCCTCCGGGGAGGGTCGCGGTGCGGCGGCCTGGGGCGGCTGCGAGCCGGGGAACTCGGCGGCACGTGAAGCGGGCGGAGAAGATGCGCAGTGGCAGCCGGGGACCTCCTCCTCCTGGCGGCGGAGTTGGCTCAGGGGTGCTGCAGTTCGGCAGACACTTAGTGAGTGCCTACTGGGTACTGGGCGCTGCCTGCAGCCCAAGATTGGGTCGCCAGGGCGTTTAGCTCCGCCAGCTTCCTAGGCTGACAGGGCCTCGGTCACTTCCAGGCTGCCCGCAGCTCCGCCACCGTTTGAAAGATCGAATGGAAGAGTTCTCCGGTCTGAACTGCGCGTTGCAGAGGGTTTGCGTTCTCTCCGGGCAGAGCGGAGGGTGCGTAGGTGGATGGGATTGATCCCCGCCGACACCCACAGCCATTCTCTCGGGCCATTTGCTGCGCCCAGGGATTCTCACTCCAGGGCAACCTTAATTTCCTCTCTGAGCTTTTCCTTCACTTTCCATTTCTCCCCACTTTTTTTTTTTTTTTTCTCTCCGTGAATGGTGCCTGTACTCGGGCAACAGAAAGGGGGGTCTCCTGGATTATTATGGTTTCCTGAAACCTCTCCCCTTACCCCATTTAAGTGAGTCACTTGAACTGAAATACACTAGTATAAATTATTGAAAGTTCAATCTCGAGTAGTGACCTCAGAGACGGGAGGGGGAAGTTGAGACTGATCCCTCCCTTCCACCCGGGGCGCTGGCGGTGGTTCTCACCGGGCTGTGTGCGGGTATGAGAAGCAAAGGAGGATGAATGTCCCTTTCAGGAGTCAAAATGGGCTTCAAAGTGACTCAGCTGTCTGGCGTTTATCATGTCTTTCTGAGGACCAGGTTATTTTTATCCACCCACTTTAGATCTCATGTGTCACCCGCAGATCTCAATACAACCGGGAGGTGCATGGATTGGAGCGACTGAGCAGTTTTCACAATAGTGTAACATATTTTATTCATATCATGTAGAGTATTGTTGGAGAAAAAAGACCCAACCCAATGAGTGGCAAATTTTCCAAAGTAATCTTTTTTATTTTGTGGGTTATTTGGCTGTTTCAAAGCATGTTGCTTGGTATCCATTGGAGCACCAGAATTAGTATACTCCCTGTGACATTTAGTTTTTCTTTTATGCTAGTTCCAGACCTTTTGGGGGATAAAAATCTCACTTATTTGTTCATTATTTTTTCTTTCAAAAAGGTCTGTATAGAGTGGAATGAAAGGGTTGTATTTAATACTTAGCATATTGCCATCACACTATTTAAAATGACTGTCAGCCCTGGCATTAAATTCTGTTCTCCAGAAAGTATTTGAAAATGCCATTTTCAGATGTTTGGGTCTGGTGTTGGGCAGGTTCCCACTAATATCTCCTAAGGGTGCAGAGGGATGATTGTCCTTACTTAAGCAACTGACAGATTGTGAACTCCAGGAAGAAAAAAGTGGCCTGTCCTTTAGCGGAGCACATTATGTCAGGTGGGTAAGACAACTTCCCTGTGTTGGGTCTGGGTTGACCTTCAAATAGTAAAACAATTTTTTTTTATTAGAAATCTTTACCTCCTTATATAGTGTATAGCAGGTGTGAAAACGACTATTTTAATTCACTTCTACAATTGGGAGCTTACTGTGTACCAAGCACCATTCCAGAAGCATCTTGTCCAGTGTAAAATGATGATTTCATTCATGTCATAGTAGTTTCTTCGGGGAAGACTGGGCTTATTTACAAGGCTGATGAATCAGTATATTTCGCTATCTGTTTCAGGGAAGAAGAAAAGGAAGGTTTTATAAAAAGTTTTATTAAAGCACAGTGAGTGATAATGCGAAATTTGTCTGTATGGTACTTTACATTTCATCATGAATCCAACAAGGTTTCTTGTGTACCTACTATGTGCCAACTCATATAGGCATGGCTGTAAGAACCATATAGGGCAAAATTCATTGGTTCCAAACATGCCAGAAACTTTAATCTACAAGTGCTATAGGATTGTTCTAGAGAAAAGACCAAAACTGTTTACGTGACAAAAATAGTCACCCTTGCTTTGGATACTTTTGAAAAAGGTTGTAGATGAAAATGGATAGAAATAAAGGAGTCCAACATTCTAAGCAAGGTAAATCACATGTATAAATGCATAAAGTGGGAATATTATTTTCTTATGGGCTTGTAATGTATTTGGAAGGAAAAGATTGCTTGAACAAGAAATGAGTCAGAACCAAGTAGAGGGAAGAAGATGGGGTCCTTGGATACCTAGAACAGGATTTTGATTTTATATACGTGTAGTCAGTTATGGAAGCTACTGAAAGTCATGTGATTTGAAGTGGCCTTAGAGCAAGACTGAACCGATCAGTTTTTATCATGCATCTCTCATAGACATGTTGTGAGCTCCTTTGTCGTGCTTCGCCTTTGGGGGTGTGAGGATTGAGCGGGATGGCATGGTACTCGTTACAGTGTTCCTGTCCTTCCTTTCTTCTCAGTTTCTAGGGCTTGGTGCTTAGCAGGTACTCAGTAGCATTTCTTCTGGGATAAGAGAAGAGTTGTTTTTACACCTGACAATTTGGTTTCACCCCAGGCCCAGTTTGCCATCTTGACCTATAGGTTCACCTCTCCCTGACTTGGTTCATCTTGCAAGGTCTGTAATGTGACCTTCCTGGACGGTGGGGACTGTGCATCTTGGTGTCCTCGGTCGCCTGCTCCACATCGGGCATATAAAACAGGAACTCAGTGAATGTCTAGGAAATGTATGAATTACATGAGATTATAGGTTCGAAAATCGTAAGGACACAACATATAGGAAACTTTGTGAAAGGAATCATGTGGGATTATGTAGATTGCGGTGACTTCATTGATTGTGGGGGACAACTATGAAAGAGAGAGAGAGCCAGACAGGCAGAATCCTAGCTCTGTCACCCAGCTTTGTAACTTCTATGTGCCTCCGTTTCTCTCGCTGTGAAATGGGGCCAATAATAGAGCTCACCTCATGAGGTTGTTTTGTGGCTTGAATAAATTAGTATGTTAAGTGTGCCTGGCCAAGTTGGTGATCATGAGAACGAAAAGGAAGTGATAGAGTCAGTCCTGGTTGTAAGCCTGCGTGTTTGGTTGTCAGGGATTATGTGAAAAGTTTGGTATGGTTTAGTGGGGAAATTGGTTCACAGCTCTGCTCACAAGTCTTCAAGGACCTTCATGTAAAATCTACTCTCATGCCCTGGTGCGGTGGAATCCCTCTTTCATCGCGGCGTAGTCTGTCCCACTTCCCCTCAGTTCCCAGGTCGCCCCTCCAGGTAGCCCAGTCTCCGGGTCCGGGTCCGCAGCGTGTGAGGTTCACTTCCTTTTCCGGGACCACCTTCCTCTCTCCATCATCTCTCAGGGTTCTTCCTCACCTTTCCCCTTCTACTTCAGACTTCATCCTTTCCTCTGAAGGCTCCCTTATTACTTAGAGCTGTGTCATACACCACAGCAGTTAGTTGTAGTCTGTCTTCCATGGTTTGCCATTATTTTATTTCCTTTTACCCATTTAAAACTGGTAGTTTTAAAACATCGACTGTGTGTGACGCCTCCTACGAAGCATTAGGTATGGGAGCTGGGCCACTGTGGTGCTTATATGCCCCCTCCCACCTGTCTGGGCTGGAGAGCTTGCCTTATGCCTGGTCTTGCCTAGAGTCAACTGGAAGATCGAGACTGGGGCTGAGGCCCGGGCAGTTTATTTTGGAAAGGTATCCCAGGGAACAGAAGTGGAAGAACGGCCAAGGGGACAGTGACAGAGGGGAGGAAGGAAAGCCCTCACTCTTCAGGGTGATATTTGTGCTGGAGAGGCCGAGAGGGCTCCTGGTGGGCTCCCTGCCACCTGCGGCAGCTGAGACGGCAGCTGAGATGGGAGAGAGAGATCCTGGTGCAGTGAGGCTAGGTCGTCCGGCCCCAGCAGCACCACCAAACAGCTGCACACACCACAGGGTGGCCTGGGGGAAGATGAGACCAGCATAAACAGGGCCCCCACCTTTCTTCTTTCCTCCCAGCATCAATCAGCACTATTTGTAAAAAAGGAGCTTTTCCCCCATTCTCCAAAGCTCTGAGATCTTTTGGTGATGTTGAGATGTCACTGTTGGTTCTCTGCTTTCCTGGGAGTTTTTGCCAAACCCAGCTGGACGGGGTCTCATGGGAGTTATCCATTGGGACAGGCTTTGAGGTCATCTCCTTGTAGGGAAACTTCATATTAGGGGCTCAGTAAATCCATCTGTGATATTGTGATTTATAATAAGGAATGGATACTTGGTCTTTGTTCCTAGCACGGAACTCCTCAAACTCTTGGAATTTCCTAAATGAGAAGGGCTATGAAGATGTTATTTGTTACTCATAACTAGCCTCTTTTAACCACACCCTGTAACCACTGGTCTATTTTCTGTCTCTAGTCTAGGTTTCTCACGTAAGTGGGATCACATAGTATTTGTCCTTTTGTGTCTGGCTTATTTCACTTAGCATATCCTCGCCGTTCATCCATGCTGTAGTATGTATCGGAATTTCCCTCCCTTTTAAGCTTGAATAATATTCCATTGTATGTGCGTACCACATTTTGTTTATGCTTGCCACCGTTGATGGACATTTGGGTTGTTTCCACCTTTTGGCTCTTACGTGCAAAGCTGCTGTGATCGTTGGTGAGTAAGTATTTGAGTCGCTGCAGAATCTGTGCTTTTCGCTGTTGGGCGAGGCATGCTGTCTTCAGGCAGCGCGACTTGCCACAGTGCTTACTTGGAGGGGAAAAATAACTTAATTTAGGATCTATGTGGAAAAATCGTCATCTGAATGGATAAACAGAAACTGATAGAAGATAGTAAGACAAAATTTAGGAAGTACAGATTTTTTTTTTTCTTTGGAGATGTAAACCTGAACTAAGTCTGATTAGTTTCACATGTCAAAAGTTCCCTTGCCAACGCAGCTGGCTAAAAAGTTGTTTTATGGCAATGA